TACATTTATGTAGTATTCTTTCAAGTTTTGGCGGGAAACGCTGGAATTTCTCTTTCTCGCATCATGTATATTTTGGAATGATACAAACAAGTCTCCAGGCAGAATTTTGCGGGAAACAGTGATACACCAGATATTAGTAAGCTGCAAGTATTAAATATCCCAATGTCAGTCTCTTTCCCTCGCTAATTATGTGTTGTAGGCAACGAAGTTCAAGGTATAAACGTTTGCAAATATGACACTTAGCGATGCACAAACATACGGTCAAAACACTAGCAACATAAATACACAAAGAAAAGAGACCGAGGTAACAAAGGTATCACGGGTTTTATATTTCACTGTAGAAATTAATGTATCTCGTGTTTTACAAGTACTCTCTCTCTCCCTTGTTCTGGATGGACCGCAATGTAGAATATAACGTTACACCTGGTATTAATGCATCCGATCTTTGAACACTGATTGTCCCCTCTCTCGTCACCCAGGCCATCCTCTAGTCAGGTAATATTCAGTCAACCGACGCCAAAACTTAAATTTCCTCTTCCGCTATATTATTTTAAAATGCTGGTTTTCAATATTAAGGTGCATGTAAATCGTGTGTCAATGATGTGTGAATGATAGTTTTGTCACAATTAAAAGTTGAATGGCGCTGTTATAATGTCGCCACGTATTAGTGAATGGCGCTGAAAGTTCAATCTCTGTTTCTCTATCATGATATCGACGAAATTTGCAGATATACTAACTTTAAAGTAAATACATTCATTATGGGTCGTTTTTGTTTTTTTGTTTTGAGCATTGGGCTTGCCGGGATCTCTATAAAATTCTCACAATCAAGTGCATTTTCACATCAAGTGTAATTATTATAAATTAACAATTCTTAGAAACGTGAGTAAGACACAGCAGTTATCTTGTAGCGCGCTTTGGAATGTCGTGTAAACAAACGCGCGTTGTAAATGTCGCGTGGGCCCCATAACAAACACGTCGCGTCGCGGGGACCGTGACGCTTTAGTAGACTTAATTAATTGGCATATCAGCGACGAATGACGAAACAAACAACTGTACGATGCGTCTAAAAATATCCCGTATCCCTCAATGAGAATATACCCGTATATTACTGGAATAATAAGACAGTCATAGGAGAACGTTCGGTGGCAATTAATAGTTTAATACAATAACAAATATTCAACTTGTGCAAACACAACTACATAATTAATAAGAAAAGAAAGTATCAATAATGAAATGGATGATATCGTTTTCATAAATATAAAATGCAATGGGTGTGGTTAAAATGAAACGCACATTCGGATGTAGAGTGCAACTGGTTTAACCGACTGTGTGTATGTGTTCCGATACCAGCCGATCTGGAGTCGGTCACAGGTGACAACACAAGCAATAGTTGACTGTGCTTTAAAATATTTCATTTTATGCTTGCCTCGATGACAAGTCTACAAAAGAACACACATTACTTTATTCTGAAAGTAAATGCCATCGTTGCCATGGCAAAAAAGAACTGTTAACTGTCAAAATTCTTTTTCAGCTTTCGAGAAATGTATGTTTTTATGAATATTTTAATGCGTCTAAGGCGGCGCATAGTGAACTATCACAGATGCGGATTGTGCTCCGTCCAAGCATAAACATTTTAAATACAGTAGGAAGGCAATTTCAGGTGCCAAAATGTGACAGGGAATTAGCGAGTGTGATTTTCTTTACTTTGGCGCCAGATTTTATTATATCTCTTCGTTTTACATCCGATGTACCTTAACGAGGTTTTTCCTTCGAAATTTGATGTAAGTAATACGCCATCGGTGCATTTTGTGTCAGCTGAAGCAAAGGGAGTCAATGAAGCAAAAAAGATGCATTTGTTAGCGGCGGCCAACGACAGACTGCAGAGTGGCCAACGAGTGTGTTGTTGGTATTGAAATCCGACTGTTCAAGTGGCAACTCGTTGAATCGCACACTCTGTTTTGTTTGATCGCTTGCATGAAAGACTCCTAAGGCATCATTCAAGCCTTTATGAAATTCGCTTTTCAGACGCTGCAGCCGCCTGTATTTTTTATTTGTTCTGATTAACGTGCCAAATGAGCTGGCAATTGCGGGAGACTGGATGAAAATGCGCGCGCAAAAAGGATGTGCAGTCCATTTCCCCTTGGTGAACTAGAACTGACAAGGCGTCCCGAAGTGTGTTCAATTTTTAATACAATCTTACTAATGCAGACTCGCAGCACTCAAATATCTCTAATACCTGTTAATTAGCAATTCACAAAAGCTTTAAACACTCTATTTTCTTGATATGCCTGGCTTGTTAGGGGCCGTTAAAGGTGATTCTCCATAATGGTGGGGTTGGGGCATTTTGAACTGCCAGCCCCTGTGTGATCCTTGGTCAGTGACGATGGGAAAAGATGCGTGTTGAAAGCTATACTTTGAGTTCCGATCACGTGGAATGAAACAAATAGCTCATTGATTGGTGTTAATTCAATTAATTAAGCATCAGTGAAATCGTGGAAGAAACAAAGAATTCCTGCTGCAATATGTTACAATTTCTATAATGCCAGTTTGAGAGTATAAATCACGCGTATTGGAAACAATAAGAATGGTTTTAATTGTCAAATTGTGAGTGTGTCGGGGATTTTTATTTCGTTGTCAGAGTTTTTAGAAGTGTACGTGTTCTATGGCATGGGATATTCAGCCAATACTGTAATTCCCGATATGGATGCGCGCTCACGATGTACAGCTTACGCCTACTTCGAAGCAGTGTTGTGTGTTTTCATGCCATTCGAGTTCTATTAAAATTAAATTTGTAGGCCCGTTCAAATGTGATGGCTGATGCGGTCGTGTATATTTAGCTATATCATTTCTCAGATTATGTCGAAGTCTCACTGTCACGTGGTTGGCGCTTCACAGAAAACAAGATACCATGTCGATCAGCCTTGGCACGTTTGATTGAGTGAAGACCAATAAAGTATATGGTATTTTTAACGGTCTGTTGAAAATGAAAACTGCACATATTAGCAGGAATCCCCGGGGATATGTATCGTGCATGCGCCCAGGCTCAATGCAAAGAAGTGTGCTCGGCCCCCTTTTCACAAACGTTAAGATTTAAACAAAGGGCGGCTGCCACACGGCTTTCATCGCAATAAGCCCAGTCGATATCAATGGGTGCAATTATATTGACGGCAGTTGCGACACATCGATGTGGAGGCTGGCTTCGTCACTGTTAATACATTGTATTTTCGACACTCCGATATCCTGACGTAATTACATTTGCGTGCGACTTTGTAATCACTCGTTTCGAATACATCAACAGATAAAGAACAGGGCGGCGTGGTATTTTTTTTTATCATCGTTCACGTAGTGTCGTGTTTCTTTGGATCATATTACAACTAACCCATTGTGTCTAAAGTTCAATACTGTTTCCTTTTGGCGAGTCACGTGACACCGTTGTCAACTTCCCACCAAGAACAGCGTACGTAAATGGAAACCATGTTGTCAATGTGCTAAGAGGCCGATATACCTTCGTGTCATAGTGTGATTTTTATTTCATCTTGCGCGGTGTAATACCTATATCTATATGTATATGTACGGGTCGTATCAGTGTAGTGCAGCTCAAATTGCAAATTATTATGAAGCAAGCGTGCAAGCAATATGGTTTCTGAAATAAATTGCAATAATAGAAGTTTCATAACGGTGTCGACTTATTCTTATGACTTTCTTTGGTGTCATTGTCAATATTTTGTCGTTTTCATTGCTCTTTCACAAGTCAAGCTGAACCCCACGTCCGCGTTCGCAACAGAATATTTCGACCCAGATTGCTCCGTATCTGTGAACGGATTTTTCAGAAACAAAGCCGAAGAGCCCCATATTAGAAGCTTACACTGTTTCAAAAGAACGACCAGTATATTTAACATGTGTGTCTATATTCGTTCTATTGTCTTACTGACATCGACAATTATCAAAACACCATTCGAATAGAATGTATAAAATAATAAAGTTATATATTTTTTTTGATTTTACTCTTGTGGTTAAAAGAAAGCGTTTTTTTTTGTCTTCCCATGTTTACTCTGAATTGCTCGAAGATATAGTGGTGTCAAATGAAAATCGCCTTTTCCAATCTACCCCGTAAGCGCTACTTTGGTAAATCCCATCTTTTCGTGTGCGTTGTAAAGCTGTTCTTAGTCCTTTTTTTGGAGAGATTTTAGCCGCTTTATGAAAATTGTATACCCATAGCGCTTGAAGTAGTTGTTTAAAAATAGATATACGCGTATATATCGGCGTCGAGTGACACATAATACTGCCCGCTATTGTGAAGCAAAAAGGGACATTGATCACCGTGGCACAGCGTGAATGCCGCTCAGTCCTTTCGGTGTTAACCACCCGAAAGCGGCATCTGTTACCTTCTAATGACTACAACGAAAATCCAGTGATTAGAACTTGGTCTTTTTGTCTCTGAGGTTCCATTGACAGGTGTGCGTAGAGCGGTATTTTATTTCAGCTTGTAGCTTCCCAAAAGTTTTTTTTCCCGCTCACCTCAAGCCCGAGATCCGCCGTTAAAAAATCCGCCGCGCTGTATTTTCATCGAGCGCGCTAGTGGAATGAACTCGTAATTTCCGGCGCGAAGAGTACTCCTTTTGAGCAATATGAGCTTGGCAACGCAATAAACTTTGGACAACAAGCTGTCTTCCCCGTACATGTTATCGAATGAATTGTTCCAGTTGCCACTTCAGGCACTTATAATCAGCTAAGCATAGTGGGCGGATATGTCAACACAGCCCACGTTACTTTGATTGACAACTACAAGGTAGCGCTTGGGAAGCTGATGATTGACAGATTTGCCTCATTATCGGATGAGTCGCAGCTGCTCTGCGGGTAATCCCTTGTTGTGATTGGCCAGTCTGTTACAGCTAGTCGCCGTCTTTGCTGTACCACGTGGGCTTCTTTACTGTGCGCGCTAATGGTGGTCATGTTTGATTGGTTTCGTTGATAGGGCCAATCATTTATTTGCCTTATATGGCAAGTGTATTTGCCCTCCTTTTGTCGCTCTACATGAACCGCGTGTACAGATATACTTGTGTGTGGCATTTTCTCAGCGTCGACGATCGTTACGGCGAACGACCCCGTCCCGAATCGCGATTACGACCCGAAATCTCGCTCCTTTTCGTCCCTCGGCGGGCGAATTTGGAGAGTGGAATCTAAGGAAAAAGGTGGTCTGAACAGTTCGTGGGAAAGTGGTAGGATTGGGATTCTATATGCAACGGTCTAATTGTCGGTGTAACTTACAAAAGCTCCGCAACGTTTGTCAACTGCAGCAAGTGATTCTTTAACAAATAGAACCAAGTCTTTCGTTCTCTGGACGACCTGTGATCCATTTCTTCGACTTTTACGACGTTTGCCTGGTCGACGGCACGATTCGAGGCGCCATGTATCAGAGTCGACACCCTGTAAGTGTAAATGAAGCGATATTTCTTTGCCGTGGAATTGAAGCGAGTGAGAGCGCCAATGTGGTGGTAACACTATAATACAACGCACGGTATATTTTCTCGACGCCTGTTCGTAGTCATGTTCGATCGTGTACACCGTTGTGTTTACAAACTACCTCATCGTCTCACTCCTTCCTCGTATTTATCCTCTGTTTTACTGCAGGCCCCTCCTCACCAACCCGGTCAGCCGTTCAAGTTCACAGTGGCAGAATCATGCGACAGGATAAAGGAAGAATTTAGCTTTTTACAGGCGCAGTATCACAGGTATTTTGTTCAATTTGAATTTATTTATTTTTCACATCATTTCCGAAAACCATTACACCGAGACGAGCGCGAATAATCCAGTGTTATATTTTATTTTTCAATTTCGTTTTTTTCTCCTTTTTTGTTATCACGTTGGTATATATTACACGATCGGGCAGATGGCTTTCCGTTTTGTCCTTAATTGTTACAGGCCAAGTTATCGATATCTGAGTAGCCACACACACTCGTACCACACTACAACCATGGCGTTGATTGTAGTTGGTTTGTGCACGTTGAATTTCTCCACACTTCCGGCCAGTGTCACACTTTAAACCACAATCGCGGTCATGGGGACGAATACCCAACGGTATCACATAGTTCGGTCAGCGTACATTCACCCAAGAAGAACAAAAACAATAAATGTGTGGCTTTGCTGGGTTTCATTGACGATTTCCTGTCAGACATAGGGAGACATGCTTATTTATATCGACACTATTAACGAGTTCTGTTGATGATGGATTTTCCCGTTATTCATTCCTGATAAACCGCTCTCTATTTTTTTTTACAAACATTTTTGTTTTGTGTGCATTGTCAGCTTGAAGATGGAGTGTGAAAAGTTGGCTAGTGAAAAAACAGAAATGCAAAGGCATTACGTCATGGTAAGGGGTGATTTACATTGTTCAATATAAACAATTAACTGATACTGAAAGGGTGTGTGTGCATGTGGGGTGGGGGTTATTTATTGTGAATGGAATTATTATTTCCCAAACAATTCACAGGGTGGGATTATACTAATCCCCAAAGCAGCCCTCACTATTTATAATTTATTGTTTATGTTTAAAAACAATTACCACCCATAATGCATTAGGATATAGCTTGTTAATTGGAAAAAAAAATGCCTTTGTTTCCCCTCCCTCCTATTTGGAAAATTTGAAATGTTAGTTCATAGCCCCTCTATAGACAGTTTTAAGTCACTGAAATGAACAATTTGCATGGCTTGTGTGATAGTTGGTTTGTAGCTGTCCCATGACCCATGCCTAAACTGGGTCTGTAGAGCAACCTGGCTTCCCTAGGACATCATTTACTTCTTCTTCAAGCAGTTACATTAGACATAGCTAGGCAAAAAGATGCCAAGTGCGAGAGATCCCACTCCTTTAATTTTTACCCCCTGTTCTGTTTAGCTTTGAATTAGTATGTCTGTTTATTTTGCACTGCTTAGGTACATTCAATGGCCTGAGAATGCCCAATGAGTTAATCCGCATATACACATAGCCAGTTTTTTTTGTCTGCTTGGATGCATTCTTTCCTTCATGCTTGACTGACTTCGTATACATGGTATCCTTGGCTGGTTTTTAACACTTCAGTCTACAATTTCCTTTCATTACAGTATTATGAAATGTCCTATGGGCTCAATGTGGAGATGCACAAACAGGTAGGGCCAAATGTTCCACTTTGTATTGTTATTGCCTTTTTTTATGTCTCTCATAAATTTGTTTGTACGAGTGTGTGTGTACGGTGGTGAATATAAACTGGTAGGTAATCAAAAGCACAGAAATGAAGAAGTGTGTGGTGGGGGTGCTATCACCTTGCTTTCGGGACTGAACCAATCGTCTCACATCAATTAACAGGGCAGGGTACGGGTAAAATGACTAAGAACTGTGGTATCTCCCCTCTGCTCCCAACACCCAGTACTTGTATACAAATTTGATAAATCTTTTGCCTTTGGGGCATGGTCAGTACGTTTTGTAACAGCTTGAGGATGATTGGTTCAGGGGCTGCAGTCAAGCATGGCCTAGACAAAGGAACACGGTTTATGTATGTGAGCCAACTATTGAATAGGCGCATACAGGACAGGGTTGAGTTGACTGCAGCCGCCTCTATAATTTGTATGGTTGATGAATTGTTGCCGATAATCTGCTTGCATAGTGTATGAATGTGGACTATTACTAAGTAACGCCAGGAAGCCGAGATAATGGCGCTTCTACTCTATTTCCCCAGGGGATGCTTATTTGCAATGGCCTCTATTATCGAGGCATACTGTCATTTTTCTATTAGAGTCCACCCAGGAGCTGATACTTGGTGTTAATAGAAGCCGTAGCCCAACTGATACAACTCAGTGTGATATTCGTATATTCCCAAATCTCATCTATATTTCATCATTGTGACCCCCTGGAGGAATTGACTCTGTGTCTTTCTGTTTGTCTGCATATCTATAATGTATGCAATTACTATTAGTTGTCGCCATTTGTGAGTGGTCATTGCGTTTTCATTATAAGGGAGGTATGCAGCCGGCCAATTCTCATTTTAGTCACCTATCTTTAGAATAATTTCCCGTGGGCTGTGTTGCATGTCGTGAGATAAATTAACCACATTTTCTGTGGAAACGATCGTCAAATAGATCCATGTTTGATTTAATAGCTGTCCATGCATCTACTATGTGGAGGAAAGTAATCACAAATTATCAGCTGTGGCAACGAGAAAATAAGTATTGGGTCATTTTTCATTTGGAAGTCATTGGTTATTCTTATTGTGTTGTGTTCAATTACCCTCAGACATGTGCATTAAATTTTCATTTTCAAAAACAACATATCTTCTCATAAAAGCCGCTGCCATTAGATTTGAAAAGCCATTTACCTTTTACGAGCACACATAACAAGTTCATCTATGCTTGCTGCCGAGGTATTGTCAAAGTAGTAATAAAATAGTAGTCTTTATTTCATCCGGTCAGTGACAGCATATGGCTTCTTTTCACTGTAGAAATGGAAATGGAAAGCCTGACGGGTGTTTAATAAAGTGATCCCACCGTGTACGGGGTGCTAGCTTATTTATTTCCATGTTGTATCTAACCCCGTATTTTGTTGACGACTGAGATTGTCACTGAGATTCTATTCTAGTTTTCAATGAAAAATGTATTACAGTAAAATATAGCCAAAAAGTCTTTTTTTTTCGAATATTAATCCTGCTAAAGAAAATTATTTTAAAGTATGGTGTATTCAGGGATTTAACTGTTTGCGCCTAGAAGGAAGTGGAATGGTTTGTGTGTTGCCAGCTTTTGGTGCATCTCCATCTGCTACACTGGATTGTGTTTCATTTCATGTATCTTTCATTCTACCTAATTTTCTAAACATAGCCAGATGTGTCAACCCAGGGTATATGGAGAAGAAAAGAAAAACACCCTGGCTAATAACAAAGTTTGGCTTATGCCCGACAGCATACAATAAACCTATATAATGTTGTCACCGATATGTTCTATATATCTATTGGATATGTAAGGCTGTATGTCATGCACACTATTGTGCATCTATAGTTTCACTCCCTGGTATAACATTCTGCTTTCTTTTAAATTATTTTCCTTCAGGATCTGATTAGCTTAGACGGCCAAAAAAATAACAATATTGTCCGCTTTATTTTGGAGTCCCTATCTATCGGAAAATGGAGTGCTATTTAATCGATCTTTTCTATAAGACCTAAATTTGTTAGTCATATATGAGACCCGCTCATGTCTTTAAGAACTAGAGTTTTTATGAAGCATGTTTTATTGACTGGAGCCTCAAACCACAAAATGTTTGGATACATCAGTAATCAATGCAAATGACTGGGTCATGTTTTAATATGCTATAAAGAAGATAGGCACAACTAAGAATAATGATAACGCTCTTGAGTGTGCTGAGTTGGCTTTCGAGTTGAGAAGATTGGACTTATCAATGGCAGGCATGAATTCATTATGTACAGCTTGTTGATAGTAATAGGGCCTAACCGTTGTAGATCCACAATATGACCAATTACGAGAGCCCATTATCTGCGACAATGCCCAGTAAATTTAGTAGCAGTATTGAGCGGTTGCATTTTCAATATGCATGCCTTGCTATGTTTGCTTTATAATGAAGTCTTTACAAACGGTGATAGACAGCTCTTCCTTAGTTAAGTGCTTTTTAAAATTAACAAATCTTAGTTCGTAAATATTTTGCAAGGCCATTGCAAGAGACAGTGTTTTTTAAATAAATCCTAGTGCCCCTGATGATGTATTCTGTGTAGGAAATGGCTTACATCGGGAATGGAGACATTAGGAAATGATCCCTGGCCGTGTAAATAGTATGTGCAAGTATAAGAGGGCAGGTTAGCACTGTGACTGTTGTGCTACCATAACAGCATTCTATTAGATGCTGTATTGTACAGAAGTGTAGTTTTAACCATACAAGTACATGTACAGCCGACACTATAAACATGGCGTACTTACAAAGAGAAGGTTAAAACGATCAATTTCATTGACTTTTCCCCATATTTTCATTGCTGTGGGCTAATTTCAATTCAATCTATAATTTCTTCTGCTTTGATTTTTGTTTCCTTGTCTGATGTTTATAGAATGTTCCATACCTAACTCGCCCCTCCCCCTGTTGAAAATAGACACTGATTAATTATTTTTTCCTTGTGCACTCTTATTGAGTTTCTTATGATATTAATATTAGAGTTTTATATAAACATGTTTAAAGGTGATTTGTTTACACTGCACACAGTACATGAATTGGATAGGAGTCATTGATTACTTGTATATGTAAACATAAAATACCTACAATGGCCATATAAAACTACCGGGGGTAATAAATTTAATTTGGTTTGTTTTCTTCTTGCAATATATTTTAAAAGTTTTTTTTAGTAAATAATGTAATTTAAGTTAAATTTTTGTGTGGTAAATTTAATTTGTATTTGACATACCAAGAATATTTTTAACTTGCTTTACTCAAGTGACACTGTCATTTCTGTAGTGGCTATTGAATTATGTGTCTAACTTGAAATGTAATTCTAAACTGATTTCAGTCAAATTACTACCAGGTTTTTTGCTAGATTCAATCATTGCTGTCTAAGATAGTCAATTGAGTAAAGATTTCATTGACTGTTCTGATAAGGCAATTCAAACTAAACTAGAATAGTAAATATCTGAAGACCAGCTCTCAAGTGTCCTCAGCCTGCCGCTTGTTGGTAATTCATCAATGCGTCTTGGCATATCATGCAGCTTGTCACTTTTTAAAGGAAATTCTGCTTTTAAGTTTCACAAGAAGGCTGAAAAAAAAATTGTTTCTCTGCTTATCTCATATCGGCTTCACTTTAGTTGTACTTTGGCAGAGTGTGTGTGTGTAAATGTAGTTTAAGTACTTGCAGACATAGTCCCTTATTAGACTAGTGATTTCTTTATAGTGTGGAATGAAGTGGACTGAGTGAAATCTGCCCATTCATAACAATTGAGGCAGAAGAAGCTGACAGCGTAACACACAACTCACATGAGATGTAGTGTCTTTTCATATTATTCGGCTTTACTACCTATCACCTAACAAGACATTGGGGGGTTCATTGAGTGGGCAGGAAATTGGGTCTCGTTTGCGTCACTGTAGTACCCATTGGTGTTGTCATGGAAATGGCCAATTTTTCCTCCCTCCCTGCCTCCTGTCCCACCAGGATTGCAGGATTACGCGCCACTGTGCAAATGCTTTATGGGTGGTATACAGGCAAGAACTCATGCTAAAATTTAATATGCCACGGAGTGTGTTTTTGCTTGACTGCTTGCCTGCATGGAAAATGTAACTCGCTTCACTTCTTCTGCACAAATACCTAATCAATATTAATTATCTAGTAATGGATGGATTTTTCTACAAATCGAAAATGTTTTGCGCTTGAGCTGAGTTGCCACGCTCACAGAATCCGTTCGCGCTTGGCCGCTCACCTGCACAAAAGATAATGTCAGTTGATCATTGAGTGGCATGTTGAATAAAGTAGTAAGGGGATCAAAGCAGGTTTATTTGCATCTCTTGTGTTCTAGGGTGTAAAGTAAGAAAATGCAAGTAGTCTAGGTAATTTGATAGCCTGGGTAGTAATCGCCACAGTTATTAACATATGGATGAAACTAGATGGAGTGAAATCCAGAAGGGGGGGTTGGAGGGTCACACCCTGTATAAATTGTTTATCCTTATTATACATTAAGATGTAGCTAGATTATGTACGGTACAAGAAGCAGTGTCCCCATGCAGCAAAGTGGAATATTCCATATATATGGGAAATTGATTGTATCAAATAATAATTTGGTATTTTCCCAATAGACAGTCTAAATAACAAAATGGCCAATAACTTATTTTTGTTGTTATCATCTATTTATTTATTAGCCATTTTGATAATATATTGTTTAGTCCCCAATACTTTCACGTGATTAATATTAAAACAATATACAAGGCTTATTTTCTAAACTTGATTTTTTTTATTGTAAGAATATAAGCACAATGTAAATTTATTTATTATTTTTTAAGGTTCAATGACAATGATGTATCTCTGACTGGATGGTGTGTACCGTGTGTTTTATTCCCTTGTGCTTTGTGCAACGGTGCGCTTGAGTTATCTGAATTATTCCGGGTGTTTGCCACACTAATGCAAAATTTCTCTCAATGCAATGTGCATTGATTGGTAATTTGGTTCTATCACATGCAGATTCTGTACATTTACGTCAAAACTCAGTCTTGTGTAACCAAGTGATGCGTTTCCTGTCTTCTCTCCACTAACCATTCAGAATCACCAACTGCAAACTTCACTTGAATGACTCCTTGGAGTGGAAAACTCTGCATTCCCCAACCCTTTTTCATGACACAGAACTGTTCATGCATTCATTTTACACAAAATGTTTTTTTCCTTTCTTTGACTGCATCAACTATCTGTGATTTGTTGCCTTATTTATTGTGGGGGGGGGGATCGTTTAAAGAACACTTTTGGTTTCTTAGAGCTTGAACAAAAATTGTAATGAAAGTAATCGCTTTAAAAATCATATGCCCTTGTAGATAGCTGTATTGTTTGTATTGTATGACCATGACAATTACTCATCCCTCCCATTGATGGTCCTGTGCATTATGTTTTCCTGCTGAAGAAGCAACAAAGCATGTACCAAGAATTCAACATCTTTCATCACCTCTACCAGAAAGAACCTTCTCAGGCTCATCGTGGTCTGGTATGCTAGTCGTTCAAGCATGTCTGCCACACCTGAATAATGCAATTCCTTGACCCTCCCCCGTGACCATTTATTTTCTTTTGAGTGTAATAGAATTCCTTTAACTCTAGTTTATTGACTTGAATGTTATTTTTATGTGGATTAGTTCCCAACTCATTGTCCCCATTTTTTTTAAAACCCAAACATTGCTTGAAAACGTCACGGATGGTGTACGGCACTGGCCTGATGTTTTTATCCCATGTCCGTGGCCCCCCCTTTTTGTATCCGGCAAATGTTTTTGTTGTTTCTAGCATATAAAGTTACTAAGTGTATTTTTCAATTGATTGTTTGGATCATTTGTTTGGTGTCGTATGTTGAGTGGGTACGGTCTGGGTAGACACAGCTGCGGTGTATTGCTGCCCCTGTTGCTGGCCTCTATTGACGATGTTGTCAGTTTTCATTATAAAGACGGTGGCCATGGATGAATGACTTTGTATTGTATATCTAAGCTAAGCAGAACAACAATGATTACAAGGGGTGGTTTTCAAGATGGTTTGGCTCATTTTACCACAGGGGTGGTCAGGCTCTCCTGAGATGGGATATAGAAATTTGGAGTGATAATCAAGATTGTATCACCAACATCTGATCAACTTGAATTTGGGAATATTGAATTGTTCTGGGTTTTTCTCTGTCTTAAAAGTGTACATGTTTATTTTTTTTTTTTTTGTTTGTTAAAACTCTGAATAATATAAGCTTATTTGGTGTTAGTGCATCCTTGTGAATGATTGTACGAGTAGAAATAGCCAGGCTCTCAGCTCCTCCAGTTTTCTTCTTTGAAATCCTCTCTTGCTTTAACATGTATTGCGATGAGTAGCCTCTTTGTCAGTTAAAGAGGTGCTTAACAGCAACTGTCAAAATTGCATCAGTGTGTTGGCAAATCGTCACAGTGCTGTTGAGTGACTAAAGGGCTCTATAGGAAGGCTCATAAATTTCTGCGTAATTTTTATGGCATTCGTATAAAGGAAAGTTTTTATTATGTGTGCTGAGCACGTCATCCAAGATGTCCAAGCTGGGAGTTTAGAAAAAAACTCATTATAAATTTATTGGGAAAACATTATGTATTTAATAAAGTTAGCTGAAACCCACTTTATCCCATTACAATCAAATCCCAGTGTACCCACTGTATAAATCTAGAAGTCGGCCATATTGAATGCAGACAAAGTGATATTTTGGTGGCTGATTTCCCTAGTGGGCAATTGTCATTTTCTGCATTGGAAAGCATATCCCAAATTGATGTTGTTAGAACCAGTTTTGTGTCAATTGTAGTAAGTCGTTTCCCTCATCTCCACTGGGAGATGCCGGCTGACGCACTAAGAACGATTCACAATCAAGTCCTTTTTGGGAGTATGATGTAACCAAATGGTCTGCAGGTATATGGTCTGATCAATTATAGCAGCCTCGTTTTGGTTGTCATTGGGGACGCTCAAAGGTTCTAATAGACTTGCATAATAAGGTCATTTATTATCTCAACGGTCGGCTGATCGGCTATCTTGTGAGCTCGTGTATTGATCTACCTGCTTGTAATGAGTACACAGGGGACGTTGCTGGTTTATTTGCCAGGGGGAAACACTTAACAAAGAACGAACATACAAAGGAGGCCTACAAATTATATGAAATCATGTGGATTTTAAGCCTGAGTGGCTTCGCAAACAGTTCCTCTCTTGTTTCTCTATTATGATTGTTTTTTGTTTCCGCTGTGCGGGTGCAGGAGGTGCTACAGCAGCTGTAAGCTTCTCAAAAATACAAAAATTAAAAAATATGTAGAGTCTGCAATTGTTCATCCATCCATCTATCGTCAGTTATATTTGAATACGTGCTGTATTAGGACTATGACATGATGCTTTCGCATTTACATAAAGGCTAATTTTATCTTGCTCGTTTTGACAATATCTACGTCATCTGACGTGAGAATCCCATTTGTGAATTAATTTCCATCTCGTGCAATGGCACATTCTGAGATAATGTGTTGGGGATACCCCGAGGACAAGCACACTCCAATTGTAGCTGAACTGGCATTCATTATATGCTTAGTTGTATTCATCGTAGTAATACCACTGATTACTTTGAAAAGTGATATTATCCCGTTCTCTTGTGAATATTGAGGGTTATTAAGATTTCTTTTCAGCATAAAATTTAATACTTCTACTTGCATTCCCCCAAGAGGAAATATAAGTGTAATGGATTTTTCTTACGATGGATAATAATTTTTCTGTCAATAAACTCTACATCGTTGCTTTGAGAGGCTTTTATGTAAATTTGGTATGTCTTTTTACCCTGCAATGAGCACTATTCTTTATTGTATAGCATTTGGTCTCCCTGGTATTAAAGGTTTAATAATTCATTGGTTAGCTGGCAGAAAATTGAGACTGGGTTACAATAAAAACTACATCACGTGGGAATTAGGGAATTAGTAGAATAGCAGTGTGGAATGGAAATAGTATTTTTTTAAAAATGGCGGATACATTTCATTCATTTTGAATGTTGAACTTTAAAAAAAATGGCTTGCACTAGATAATTTGATTTTTTTGACTTGTGTTAAAGCTAGAAATAAAAATGTAATTTATTAAATGTTCAATTAATTCTGTTATTTTTGCATGTAAGTGTATTTTGGTGCTTGACTCTTCACACCAACAGGAGGATTAAATTAGATGGCAATATTGCTCATTTCTATATGCGTTTTTTTTCTTCTTATGGTGGCTAAGTTTAATCTGTAAATCTGACCTGTCACAATAGTTCTTTATTAGCACTGGAAAAGGCCCTTGTTAATGCGGATTCCACACAAAGGACCCTTTATCAAGATATCATGAAATATTCTGAACATGACAAGCACACCGCTGCTTATTAGTGCCAAGATTACAGAGATTATCCAAGCCTAAAAAGCATGGATATTGAGGTCTGACATCAAAAGAAAGAAACATTGAGTGGCAGCTCCCTTAAGACTAGATTTGCAAGATTACTCACGAAAAAAAAATTGCCAAAATGGAGGATTAGGTTCAGGCAGGGGAGCTAGCCAATTTAGTTTTAAAACTAGGAATCTAGAAAAAGTGTGTAATATCAAATTGTGCTTAAATGTATATGAGGTCTCTGGTGTGGTTGCAGGCAATGCATATGCAATCAATTTTGTATCAGGTATTTGCCTTTACAGCGATCGCTCCCCAATGTCTTGATGTGCATCTGATAGAGTTAAGACGTCACAGGCTATAATGAAAATATTACTAGCTCTGGGAATACGCTTGAAGCATGACTATAGTGGAGACTCTGTGTTCGACATGAATTATTATTTCTACTCCAATTCCTTATGCTATTGGGGGCTTGCCATATTCACCAGAGTGTCAAATTACCCACAGTGCATCTATTTACCCATCATGCAATGCACCCAATGATTGCCTTGTATAAATAATCTTTTCTATTTCCCCTTTTCAGACAGAGATTGCTAAGAGGCTGAATGCAATTTGTGCTCAGATAATTCCATTTTTATCCCAGGAGGTAAGATTAATTTTTTTTATCAAATAGGTTTTTTTTTTTTTTTTGAAATGTGATCACACAGAATATATTATTTAATTTAATACCTGGTTTTGTTTTACTTCCCTTTCAAACTCAAGATGAAAAAAACATTTATTGCAAATAACATTTATTCCAAATAAATGTTTTTCTATTTTGCATAAATATCTAACGCTTCAATGGAAAGTGAACGATGTGGGTATGAACGACCATTAAAAATGCAAAGCAAAATGAATAATGGGGAGATTAGAACGAATATAGCCCCTTAAATAGAAGTTAATTCCTCGTGGTGTGTGTTGCTATGGCAACACATGCAAAGCATCTTGGGAGGACTGGAGTGAGCAGTGTATCATGGGAGTGTGATTCATTATCTGAGTTAGGAAATAATGTTGTGGTGGCTCCCTAGAGAACTGATTAGCACAATGGAGATGTCAACTTGTCAAATGTAGGGGAAATATAATGTTCTGTTGGTGATAAAACACCACAAGGTGATTTACAAGCAGTGAAGCGTGAAGGAATTTGGAGTCAGGACTAGACTTGTTAGTCAGCCAGTTGTGGATGAGCATCTTGGGAAGTCATCTGATCAGTGTCAGGTGTAACAGATAAATGTTTACAGCAATGGCCATATACCAAATGCTTCAGCGACATTAAAAGTGAATATACATACTGACAAATTGGCATTGAAGTTTTCCCAAATGGTGAATAACATGAAAGTTGCTTTTTACTGAGCATTTTACCCATGTGGTAGGGATTTCATTCAGAGGGTCAAGTAATAAAACAGTTGGTGTTTTAATCTGTTAAGGTGGATGTTTAGAAAGTGAACAATATGTTATTGATAGTATTACTCTATGGTTGATTTTGTTTATTTTTCCCCAGCATCAACAACAAGTAGCAGCTGCTGTAGAAAGAGCAAAGCAGGTTACGATGACTGAATTGAATGCCATTATTGGGGTAGGTTGCATTTACAAATACAACATTGCAAATTTCATTATGTTTGTGTGTTATTACTTATCTCAAATATGCAAAAAATCTAATCTGTTATTTCTTTATTATCCCATAGCAGCAATCGGCTTTCCCACATTTTTCCGTAAGTATAATCTTTCTGTTTTTTCCCCCCATTTTGAATAATTTGGTATGCCACATGGCATGTATGTGTGCACGTTTTATCAGATTGCCCTTCCCTGTATATATTCTTAGATAATATTATTACGTCTAAGTTTTAAAATGAGACTATCCTGCATGTGCATGTTTTGGAATTTTTAATAAGTGGATGACTTTTTCTGTACCCTTTCTAGGGACAACAGGCTTTGCAGCACCCGTTGTCTCATGCTCACCCACCGCCAGTACCTATGCCACCACATCCTAGTAGTCTGCCTGGTGGACCCCATCACATGCCATCAGTCAGCAGCTCGGGATTATTGGCAGTGTCCAATGCGTTGTCAAATCTTCCTGGAAGTTCAATGTCGGTCAAAGATGAAAAATCAGGTCAGTGTCTGGTATTATTCTGATTGGCTCAGTGTTTTCATGTGATACAGTGTGATGCATCATGGGAGAATTGTAGACTATAATTATGTACATGATTTCAGTTTAGCCGTCGCATTACATTCATACTTTAAGTGAAATGTTTTTGTGAGTGACCTGGCTAATAATGTATATATATCACAGAGAGTGATTGGTTTTCATGTGTCTTGTAGTTCTAATTAAAATGCTTGTTTTTTGAACCCCCTCTGCTGCTGACCTGATATTGGCGATGCTTGCTCATCAATCGGTGGTAACATTTCATGGTGCTGTATTTCAACACTTGAACAACAATCATTCGTCATCTGATCGCCTTTCACTGTGGACCAATGGAAATACAGCTCCCTCAGATGGCCAGGTAAGACGTCACAGCACTTGTTGTTAGTTTCTTTATCGTGTAGAGCCTGTATGAATGTTCAAGTAGGCTTTGGAGTGGCTGAAATGCAATCTGCATGCATTGGTTTGAAACCTGCGTCTTTTGTTCGGCTATCTTTGTTGTGCGTATTGTGTGCCGTGTGGTATTTTGGTAAAATGATCGGCTGAACACTTGAGGCTTGAGAGCTTCCAGCAAGCTATGCTACCTGTAGATTGTGTGAAGTGCTTTGGAAGTTGTCATGTTAAGAAGTAATGACAGATAAGCAAGTATTGTGTGACCGCTAAGTTTCTCTACCTGTGCAAACTGTATTATAGCTAATGAGATCATTCTCTGGAAACCTGATCGTCTCTATATCCTGTGTACAGAAGAAATTTTTCTTTTCACTACGTAGATGAATTCTATGATTATGTAGCAATGTCCATTACCTGTGTGTGGGGTGGGGTGGGGGACTGTCTTCCATACCTGTATGTACAATGTGTTTCCATATAACCTAACTAAATTAGACAGCTAGTTGACTGTTTACCTTGCAATCTTCAACTACATTTTATACATCAGAATTATGGATCATGCCTATGAGAACCTAATTTGTTTCAATCATAATGACACTGTCTGTTCAGAACTGTTTGACCTCGCTTGACCAAGAACTTACATTGTTGTGTATAACTGTCTCATTCGACCTTTGTCACATATGTTGCCTATTCTTCAACTTACCAACTAATAGTTAATTGTGGCTTCAAAAGTGGCTCGATGTTTAATAACCTCTTATGGCCGCAAGGGATAGTGATTAGTGCCCGGGCAAAACACTAGCTTTTAACCTTTGTGATGGGAATATTTATCCGGCAGATTATGCCCAGAGGCTTAGCAAGAATATAAAGCCATAGTTATTTCATCTTGATTCGGCGATTACGAATAATATCTACCTTAGGGATTAGCTTTACTCAGTTAGGGGCTTTACATCAAAGAGCATTGCTTGCTACTATAGGACACACTTTCAAATTGCTCTCATTCTGATGGTGGGAAGGTGAATCTATTCCCTGGTCATCAGGCATAATGCTATGGTTCTTGTAAATACTATAGTTCATGATAGAAATATTCAATTGGCCCATAATAAACCATTCAGTCAGCTTTTGCTGAAAAATTCAATACTACTAAATGGAAAAGGTAAGTCTTCAAATGCTTATCTGTGATTTGCTGATATTGGTAGCATTGTTAAAGTCTCAAGGGGCCTTGTAATCAGTGTACATTCCACTCTAATGATTTTAACAGACCATGTCTAATATTCAGTTGATATGTCTTCAGAAAAATTAGATTGACCATGGTCTTAGAAATTTGTTCTACAAATGTAGCAATTAGTATTTTTGTACAAAAACAGTATCTTTCAGTCAAGCAAGCAATTTAAACAAAAAACTGCTAGAATATTGTGCTGATTTATACTGCCTTGACAATGATAAATCACTCATAACATGTGAACTTTGAGTTGAGCCTGCTTAAATGCCATGGCAACCACTCATTGAGAAGGCTTCATTTATGTTTTGGCAGCCATGTTTTGGTGTGGTGTTTCTTGTCTTAAATTGCTACTTGAGAGAGAGTCAGGAAGCAGGGAACCGATAATCAAGACTCTTGTGTGGCTTTGAGTAGCAATTATGCATTGAAAATCGGGTAACGGTTATTGGCTCCGATTTGAGTGGGCCCAGAGAATAGAATAACAGCCATAGGTGATGGTTTCGATGACCAGTAAGATTTGGTCATGCGTGACAGCTGCCCAACCATAAAACGCCTTGAAGACTATTGTGATCAGACTGGCAGTGTGTATGTGTGTGTACTCTTCAAGTGGGTTGGTGTATGCGAAGTTGTTGAGATGACTTTTGGAACACCTGCTTTCATACCTACTTTACGAGGTGTGAAGTAGTCCTGCTTATTACCTCTCTTGCAGACACCAAGCAAGAATACTCTGTGATTACCAAGTGCCATTGTCGGCACCATGGTATACCCACTAATGACACACCTTCTGTTGGGAGACCCACTGGACCATGTTTTCACACTCAGAAATGATAAGACAGGAATATGAATCACTTGATGGTTTTCTAGGGTGATGGTGAATTACTCTGTGATGTCGTCTGTCAGCTTGGCTAACAAAAATCACAGTCTTCAGAACTATTTGTAGAGTCTCTGAAAATGTGACGTTAGTGGATGTATAAAAAAAAGCTGCTTTTCACATTCTGCTCTGACTGAAGAATTAGAAATAACTGACACTATGATGAAATAGCGAATAGTATTGAAAGTTTTAAGGCTGAAATCGTATATTGAAAAAAAATTGCTGTGTCTTGTAATTGCCTATGAAGCAACAAGAAGAGGCCATCTTGTTTAATGTATTGTAATAAACAGATAATGGCTGTGCTGTGTGAAACCGAGACTTGCCAGTTTGTAATAGAGTATGCCCGGCACAGCATGGTATCAAAGTCTTTCAAATGGCAAGTAAAACCATATTATCTGAGGATTATCTGTGCGGATATATGTTCTATGCATGCCAAGTTTTCATTAATGACAGAAACAGTTGGGGCTTTAATTCTAAAGAAATGTTCTTCAGTCGCATCAATGGCGACTGCAGAATAAAAGGACGCCAACGTGAGTGAATTTGATCACCAGTAGAGAAAAAAATTGGAACTATGTTTTGCAGCGGTTGTGGCGAGTGGCATGGCAGTGGTTTGCCAGTGAATAACATTTTGTAAAGTGTAAATTGATTGTATCGGATTACACTCATTACTGCTTGACATGTTGACACTGAAGTTAAATGAAATTTGCAGTGTAAATCATTTGGCGCCACCCTTTGTTCCTCGGCCATAATAGGGACTGAATAGAGCAGTTCGCTTGGTTCGTTTCTATACGCTTGTATTTGCCATCTCTGTTGTTTTCACTGGCCCAGGTTCTGTGTTTACAGTAGAGGTAATATAGACAGGGGGGTTACTGATGCCCTCTGAATGCCTCATTTAGTGGGGTGTGTACTCTATATCTATACCACACAAGAAAGGCATATTCTATTGCCCCAACCTATGGACAAAAACCTTTTGAAATGGCATTTGTTCCAAAGGGCGGTGCTTATGGTCGCACCTAATTACATAGGCTGTTTGTTTGCACCACTGCCTTAATTGGGACACTGTTTGCTTGCCTACACTGCATGCACCTAGGTCAGTGTATATTATAATGTTTCGTTCTCACCTCTCCATTGGCTGACCCAGCTGCAGTTGACAATTCTGCATACAGTACAAATCCATCAGGATAAAGTTGCCTTTGTTGGTTTTCTTTAACAGCGCCCTCATTAGGCAGGAAAGGAGACAACTCTAAAAACAGTGAACTAGTCTTGCTTTTAATTTATTTAGTTCAATTTATTTTTCCACTTTAATTCTAACTGTTATTTTTTGTTTTTACCCTTGTAGATTTAGTTTTTTGTTTTTCTATCTGAGATCAAAAAAAAAAAAACAGAGTTGGGATCAAATTTTAATAACAATAATTTTCCCCTTTTGATTATAAAACTTACTCAGCATTGATTGTCTTGTGGAATAAAGAGTGAGCAAATACTTGGTGTGAGTTTTGTATGAGTCATTCTCCTTGTTGGTTCTATTCTATCTAGAAGACAGAATATGCCATTGTTATTTCAATTAGTTCATTGAAACTCGGCCAACATGCCAGACTGAATGAGTAACATTTATCAGTAAAACATACATGACCTGTGATTTACATTATCTGTAGCTGTTCTGTCGTTGGTTTCAGCCTGTGTTGTGTTAGCTATGAAGCTGTTCAATAAAAAAAAAAAGGTGCTAGTCTGTCAATCTTTAATTTCCTGATGTGTGAGGTGATAAGCTTTGCAAATTACGATCAATAGGTCCACACAAACTGTGCTTGCAATCACCACTAGTTGTCATAATGGATGGCAAATACAGATATTGTTGGCATATTTTAGATAAAAGGAAAGAGACTCGTCCCCAATTCTGCCGCATGACTGTTATTCTTTTTCTAAAAATTATTCATCAGAAACTCGTTCTATTTAAACTTGTAATTATTTATTGAAATCCAAATAAGTTTTGTTTGCAGCCTTGATTTTTATTTTTTTGGGCGAGAATATTCTTACTGAAATTATTAAATAACTGCAACACAGTATGCGCTGATTAGTAATTACTTGATGTTTTTTTGTTCATTGATATGTATAGTGCAGTATTCATTGAATTTTAGACAACACCATTAAATACTATCATGGAAAATATCCTGCTAAAATATATTGAGCACTAAGTCTCTAGAAGCATAACTTTTTATAAAAGTGAACATAAAGCAAAATATGTCAAGTTGATAAAAAAATGTCAATGTTTAGTTTTGAACAACTATGGTCTGTCGAGTACAAATTTTGCCATACTCCTTCCCTTGTGGGACACACTGCTGAATTTATTGGTGAACTATTGTAAGACTAGCCAACTAAACAGAAATGACAGTATCACATTCCTGTATATGCGGTTTTAATAATAGTAATCTTGTTTCACTGGGTATAATGTCCTAATGTCACCACTGATTATCTTGCATCATTTTTAGTTCGTCTATTTTGTGTTTCCTTCTTCGATTTGTAGACGGCACTGTCAACTTAATTTGTTCAATGTAGCATAGACGGAGAGCATGTCAGCTACATTTGCACACAGCTCATCTCAATGTTCACTAATGAATCAAGAACATGCTGAAGGTGCTGAGACAACTGCTTATAAATATATTGTGTGTAGGTAGTAGTATAATCTGACTTCCCGGTGTTCCATCTCTTAATTCATAAATAAAATATTATTTTTGGTTCACTTTATTTTGCATACTGATGCAGCTTAAATACTGATGACTAAATTTGACCTTGTTTGAGGTGTGTAATGTTTTTTTTCATTTAAAGAAAAATGGTAAATGAAAAAAAAAAAAAAACCTCCTTCCTATCCTGTATGTCCTGACTGCCCCCAGTTTTTTCCTGTATACCCAACTACCCCTTGTCTGATCTCGTGTACCCTGTTTGCCCCCCTTCCTTCATTCAGTATGCACTGACAGCAGAACACCTAGTTATATCTAAATGGCAATTACATTCAAATCATCATTGGCCTTGTCAATTTTTTGAAATGTCAAAGATTTTATACAAAATATGAGCAAGTAATGAGGCTGGATCTATTAAATGCAATTTATGACACTGTATCCTAATATGATATCGGTGATGCTTATTGCTACCTTGCTTCATTCTATGTGCAACTCATTCAAGTTTCTCCATTATTTGCATGTGGTGTAAGATCCTTATTGAGGTTGTTATAGCACCCCCTGTTGTGCCTAGTTATGTTGTAAACTTTTGTCACTGACAAGAATATCTCCCTGCTGTGTGTACTGGCATAGTACTATGATTTATATCTGTGTTTTGAGAGCATGCTGTGAGCTTTACTTGTTTTTCTTGCCTATTGCTAGCCTTCAGGGAATTCATTTTTACACATGCTGGCAGGGGTGCAATAAGCCTTTATCGTTCAGTGATTATAATCTGCCATGCAACTTTGTATACCATGACTCAATCTCTACCTCATTCTTGATTCACAAGTTCCCACAATGCCATAATTTGTGCTATTTCCCACAGTTCCCTGCCTGTCGTATAGGTACTGACAGCCGAATCTTAAGACAGTATTGGCAATATTTTCATTATATCATCCAACCTGATATGGAATGCAGAATAAAATGTCCCAGACTGAATAATGTTAGTTTTGAATTAAAAAAAAACTGACCATTGCTCATGTTTGACTTCACATTGACAAGTTGTCCTTTGAATAGTTTCCGCCTGACTGATGTTAGATAAACTGTAAAGTCTGTCAGCTTAATAGCAAGGTTGACATGCTAGACCGACACCAAAGATTGCCTCACTAAACTTCAATGCCTACTTAGACCTCTGCCTGAATGCAGTGAGCATGAAAACAAGACTGGCTTTGTCCTACAATTTTGGCCCCTTCCTGTTCAATATTGGCACAAACTGTTTTCTGCTTCACTGGTTCATCCACTATTTTCTTGTTGTTATTTTGTGTCATTGGCCTCATAATATCTTCGGATTACTTCATATTTATTTTTTGTGTGTTTGTGTTCCTGTTATCTTAACTGGAACACAAAAAAAAAAACATTTCTTTTCTCTGTAACCATGGGATCAATTTCATCCTTTCCTTTGTTTCATGATCACATTCTGAAAAATGTGATGTTTACTCTGTAGTTGGTCAATTATTTCGATAATGTTATTTAATATTCTACCCCAGTTTGGTATCAAGTATTTTACTTTGTCTGTTTGTCCTTTCATTGTTGTCCCTGTATTCCTGTCAATATCAAATTATTGTAGCCTGTCTGTGAGTAATGTCAACAAAACTATTGGACTGGGTGACATTAAATCAATATGTTTATACTACACTACTTATTACTATGTGTGTTCAACATTATAATATGACTACCCTTTGTTCCATCACACCTTTGTTGCCCTGCATTATGGATTGGCTAAATTACCTCTTTTTTTATTTTAATTTAACAAGGACAGGATGAATATATTGGTAATACCAATGACTCATTATTCTACACATTGGCAGATGGTTGGTTTGTTTCTCTTCTCACTTTCCATTGTAGCCAGAGGAGATATAATCTACATAGGCCCCACCTTTAAAAAAAAATAGCTCCCTTTTTTCAACTTTTTGATTTAAAAATGTATTTTCCCTCATATAGAAAATTCTGGTTATAAAGTCTTGACGTCTAAACACATTCAGAATTGTTGATTCACTATCTTATGTTTTAGTGTGAGAACAGTCTCTTTCTGCTGATTATAACAAGAAAAACGACAATATTTTGAAACAGCAGGCTTGCTTATTTTTTAGTGCTCATTTGTTTGCCCCAAGGCATAGTGGAGGTGTTTGCTTCCTTGCGTATAAACTATCTGTTTGTAATTTCCTGGAGTGATATTTTGTGCCAAATCTGAAAGAAATTTGCTGATGTACATGATAGGGATGGTAAATATCGTGGAGGTGTAAAATTAAATGGAAGTATACCATTGTTGAGCTGGGTCAATCAATCTCTGATTACTTGCAGTCAATGTGTCCTGCCCCTGTGAATAAAGCCTTAATTTATTCAAATGTGATAATTTGCATAATTCTGAAATCCGAGTCTGAACAAGTGTTGAAAAAATATCATCTGAGTTGAATGATGGGAGTACAGAGGATATAAATTAGAAGGATCATCCGGATGCTCGGGAAAAACTGAATCGGTGACGCTAATGAGTTTATCTTTGTGTGTGCGTGTTTGTTACGATTCGATCAATACATCCAGAGAAATGCCTGAGTATATAGACTGTCAACTTGGAATATTTATCCAACAACTGTGTTTTTTTTTCCTCCCAGACTGTTTTCAAATTGCATGGGGATATTTGCAGCGCTGGCATGTTTGTTTTATGGTGTGTAGAAAGCATTATATTGTCTAGTACTCTGTCAACACTACAGATTACCGCTGTTATGAACCCTACACTGCTGTCTTAAAGTTTTCATTGACTTGTGTTACTTTGATAGTGTTCGATAACGACAAAAGTCCTTGCTGCTGCAGTTTTGCTATAAAACGAGACACATCTGGGCTTTTCATATTAAAAAAAAAGTGATTAGAAATGATTCACAGCTTGTGCTTTTAATTGTATATAAACTAAATGAATATGTATGTGGAGCTAGTTAAATAGTCAACTTATTTGTATAAGAACTCAATAGCGCAGCGCATGTTGACATTTATTCTAACTTCATGAACTTTATTTGTATTGGTTTTTATTTCCAATATATTGGATTTGCTCTGGCCTGTTTTCAGATGCTGTTTGTATTCTGACAAATCTAATGTCTGTTATGCGCAGCTGTTTCATTGGTAAACATCGGGACAGCTAAAATCAACAGTGTTAGATTTCTGTTTTCCAGAGAGTGGTTTATATTGCTACTTGCTACAGATTAAAACAATTGCACCCCTCATAGTTACAGCTGTTTAGTCTGAGTGGTAATAATACCAAATCTAGAAACAACAAATGTGTTTGATATTCTCTCCAAATCATTTTATAATATGTTACTACTACTTTACAATACACTTAGCGTAAATTTAATTTAATTTCTGTTTTATTCCTAATAAAATATATTGAAAATATTTAAGATGAAAAAAAAAAACATCCATCGGTGTAATATTGTTACCTGTTCTGTTTATACATTTATTTTAAAATTCAATTGCATCCCATACTGTTCCCAACTGTAATCTGATTGTAATTTATTATAGCTATTTTTATTTTTATTCAAAAAGAACAGATTGCAATTTTATTTTCGGGTTAAATATGCTGTGTTTGAGTGTCGTAGTGCGGCTGCCTTTTGTGTGTGTATATAATTCAAAAGTTAAAGCTGATCGTATTATCTCGGCAACTACACCTACAATGGGCTTTGTGAGCACGGATGTAATGTAGCATATGTCTCTTATAAGAGATTGTGGACAGTTAAAAATGTCCAGTGAGATGACCAGTCAGTTAGGGGGTATGACATGACATAAGGATATTGTTTTCTGATGCCTTGTGTATTAATCACTGGGTACTCATATTCTGAAAATACATTTCCAGCAACGGTGTTTTCATTTCAAATCCATCAAACAAACAAGTCTCTGTCCATTTAAGTGGTTTGCAAACAATACTATACTAGAATTTGCAGGGATATTTTGACTAGACAAATTTAAGAAATTGTGCAAATATTGGTGTGAATAGTTCTTAACATGACAACACTCCAGTAGTTAGTGGTATGTGTATGTATTTTACGACTTGCCAAACAGCGCCCTCAATATATGTGTGTGTGTGTGTGTGTGTATGTATGTGATTGTGCGCCCTCTATGATGTGTATTATCATTCTCTTGTTTTTATTTGCAGAATTCACTTTCTCCAAGACATGATGAGAAAAAACGCAAGAGAGACGAAAAAGAGGTGAGACTCATCTATTTGTGAATACAGCATGACTGGTGCAATAATTTTGGGTGGTTTCAATGTCGGTGGTTAATGCTGGCTTAGATAATAGAGCGAGGTCCAAGGTATACATAAGCCAGGGCATACTCAGTCAGTGGCTGTCATACTGGATGAATTGATGAGAACGCTGTCTGTACCACTAACCACCAATCAATGCATCACTGTTGTGTGTTGCAACTTTTACCCTGGGCAGAATGAAACAAATTATGGCCGCTATTGCAAGCAACCTTTTTTCAAAACTTGGCTTGTTTTGCGCTATCCTTTGATTTTAAAACAAAAACTTTTTTTTTGTATAGCTATACACAGGTAACAATGATTGCAGGTGCTGCTGCTTTGCCCTGACCTTCTATAACGCAACTTTATATGGCCTTTGACCTCGTGACCTCAAATTTGATTGTTTGCTTTTTATTTGCATGTTGTTCACAGGAGAGTGACGGGGAAAAGAGCGATGATAATTTAGTTGTGGATGTGGCAAATGAGGTGAGAATCAAACACATTTCAGTCTTGATACACCAATGTGTTAAATAGTGTTGCATTTCTATGACAACCTGTACTACTTAGCTTCCCTTCAATTTATTGCTCCATCATCATTGCTTATCATTGTCATGGTAACATGCTCTGAATCACTAGGAAAATTAATCTTAACCATGTGACATTACAGCAGCATCTCATTGGATGAGAGTTGGCCAATACCCTTCCATATACAGAACATGCTCCTGGTATTTACAAAACACACACTCATTTTTTTCAAAAACTGTAATTATCAGTGTGCCATTATCTTGGATAAAAGTCTTGCATCATCGTTATCACTATGGCAACTCATCATATGCATTGCATTCTGATGGAAAAGCAACATTATTTAACACTTTGTTGTGTGTGACTTGCCTGAGCCTAAAGTGTACACCACTTGGCTTTTTCCCACTCTGCATGATATAGTTTGTTTCTCTGTAATATATTTAGAATATTTTGCTTTTTGCATGCTTGAATCTAAAATTGCTTTTTTTGATTCTGTGGTTGCATTTGTCCTTGTTTTTGTAATTTACTTCTCACATCTTGTTTCAACTGTTTATCCTAATATTGACTTCAGGAATGATAGAAGATTCTGAGATCTAACTGATAATGTTTTGCTCGTAAGATTCACTGAAATTTTGAAATCCCATAGGATCTTATGGAAATAAAGAATGGTTATAATTTCCTTTTTTCCTGTGAAAAAAAAGCTTCAGTTTGTATCTTTGTTTCTCTTGTTTGTATTTTGCAGGACCCAACGTCTCCCCCAAATGGAGAACGAGTGTCACCACGTGAAAATGGTGAGAAACACCGAAAAAAGGAACGTTCAAGTAGTCCAAACAGTGTCCCCTCAACTGCAAGTACACCTAATTCCAAGATTAAAGAGGTGAGAATGCCAATCATAATGTGCTATGTTTACTGTGCATACTCGTATATATACATTGTCTAGCAACGGCAAAAAATCTAATCTCATCACACAATGTATATTATTGTCCTTTTGTTAACAGAATGATAAATCAACCACACCAGTTTCCAAACCAGACACTCCAACAAGCGGCGGTGCTACAACACCAGGCGCAAGTGGTTGCATGCCAGGAATGAAGCCCCCAATGAAGGCATCCGCACCAATAGGTGAGTGGTAAACTCTGCTGGTGATGGTGGTTGCAGTAGCAGTGTGCATACACCACTTTTAAATAATAACTTGTTAAAAACCGAATGTGAATTGTTTCCATGAAATTATGTCCCATTCATGGAAACTGTCAGAAAATCATATTTTAAAACGTTAAATTTGTTGCAATTAAGGTTAGAAAGATCAAATGATTTGATTGTGTGTTGTTACTTTCGTTCTTTACGTATGGTCACAGTTTGATGTCATGTTTCTTGATCTTTCAAAAGTATTTTTTCATTTCTAATTTCTTACTTGGCAACCTGTTTGCTAAAATTCTTCATTGTGTGTTTGCTGCCCTCTCGTGGTGGTCTTTCATCATGACCATATTTGGTCGCCCATTTCATCCCTTCCACCTCTACCCACAATACATTGTGAAATTTCATTGTTTGTGTCTTTTTTTTTTTTAAATCTATTCCTTCTGTCTCCTCTGACACATCTTCCCTATCTCCTCTGTTCATCTCTTACCTGGTTAGCACCAGCATTGAGGACTCCTATTTCATCTATGGCAGGAGGTTACCCTTTTATGCCCGGACAAGGAATGAACCACGCTGAACTGCCGAGTCCTTACATGACTAACAGTATGCTACATAACAGTATTTCACCAGGACTTGGTAGCTATGCCAGAAGCCCAATGGTGAGTGCTTTATTGTTATGTCATTATTTCATAGTAATAAGTGAGAGATTTATCATAATTATCAATGTTATTGAGGACAATAGTTGAATTAAATGTTTTACAATGTTTCAGGACAAAGTTGAATACATTTCAGTGTTGTGGTTTAATGTTTAAATAATTTGCTAATAATTTGAATGTTTTTATTTCATTGTAGGTCGGTTTTGATCCCCATCTTCATGCCAGGGGTAGCGGACTAAATCCAAGTTTGTCAGGAATTCCAGGTGGAAAACCGTAAGTTTTAATCAGCTTTATCTTATGAACATAAATTAATCAAGGTGTTGATGAAATACTGTCTAATTTATGATTATTGAATATAATTTGAAAACTTTTTATATATGGAGAGATAACTTTCTGATTATTAAAAAAAACAACTACAATGGGCATTTTGTAAGATCAATGAGCCAAACATGCCTGGCTTTTAACTAAAAATATTATCAGAAGCAAAAACAAAATAGTCGTATCAATACACTTGTTAAAGGCAAGTGGTGAAATTTTGTGTAAATAAAACATTGTATTTTATGTCTATTGTATAGTTCACATAGAAACGGTTAACCATCATCCTTAAAAAGGAGCCATGCATAAAAAAATATGATATAACTTTTATAATTTCTAGAGCATATTCATTTCACGTCAGTGCTGATGGTCAGATGCAACCAGTCCCTTTTCCTCCTGATGCTCTAATTGGTCCCGGGATTCCACGCCATGCACGTCAAATAAACACTCTTAATCACGGTGAAGTGGTATGCGCTGTAACTATTAGTAACCCAACAAGACACGTCTACACCGGTGGAAAAGTAAGTTACTCACAGTTGATTCTACAATGTACATTATTTGAGAGGATGTGTAAAGCATGATGTGTACAGCAGTGCTTGGGTGCTGGACCTGTTCTGCAGACTTTTTATTTTACATCCGCATGATGGTCCTGTCTCCATCTCAACTTATTACTTCCCGACTCAAAATATGTACATGTATTTGAAGGTGTTGACGACCTCTGTCTGCGTTCGGCTTACGATTTAATTTGCACAGTGTCCTTTTTTCTATTGTTTCCAGTGACAGTGGATGTTGTTTATTATTGTCGTCACGTTGTACATTTGGTTGAGACAGGGACCATTCGCGGTAATTCGGGTATTTCATTAAAGTTTCTTCGGGGTCCTTGTTAGATTAGCACTGGGTCACAAATTTCTGGTCTGTTTATAATTTTTCTCTGCACTTAAATTTCTTTTTTCCCACAATTCCTAACTTTATATCCCCCAAACTATCCTTTGTACAGTTCAGAAAATTAAAACTGGATAGTTTTAAACAACTTTTGTTTTCCTCTTGTTGTCTTGCAGGGCTGTGTAAAAGTCTGGGACATTAGTCAACCGGGTAACAAGAGTCCTGTGTCTCAACTAGACTGTTTACAACGTGACAACTATATACGCTCCGTCAAACTCCTTCCTGATGGACGTACTTTATTAGTCGGTGGTGAAGCCAGTACATTATCAATTTGGGATCTAGCAGCACCCACACCTCGTATCAAAGCTGAATTAACATCCAGTGCACCTGCTTGCTATGCTCTTGCCATTAGTCCTGACTCCAAGGTCTGTTTCAGTTGTTGTAGTGATGGAAATATCGCAGTCTGGGATCTTCATAACCAGACACTTGTCAGGTACGCTCATTTTATTATTTCTAGAGATTAATTTTATGGGTGGTTGTGATGATTGGACTCTTTGAGAAGCTAAACAAGTTTTCTGGTTCTCTCAGTGGCCATTGGTCCTGACGTCTATTTAGAAACAATAATTTTATACTACTGTTATATCTTCAATAATAACAACAGACATGACCTTGAAAAATAATAATGGTTCACCCGAAACACTAATTGCGAATTCTTTCCATGTTTCATTTGTACACAGGCAATTTCAAGGTCACACTGATGGTGCAAGTTGTATAGATATCTCTTCAGATGGAACTAAGCTGTGGACTGGTGGTCTTGACAATACAGTTCGTTCATGGGATCTCAGAGAAGGTAGACAGCTACAACAGCATGACTTCACATCACAGATATTCTCCCTTGGTTACTGTCCAACGGGAGAATGGCTGGCAGTCGGGTAAGTTACTCACAAAGCATGACGGGATACTATGTAGTCATTATGGGACGAGGTAGTAGACATGACTTGTTATCAGGACATAGCGACGGCACAGGGTAGTGGACATGGCAAATATCAGGGCATGGCGATGGGACAGGGTAGTAGACATGGCGATGGGACAGGGTAGTAAACATGGCGATGGGACAGGGTAGTAGACATGGCGATGGGACAGGGTAGTAGACATGGCGATGGGACAGGGTAGTAGACATGGCGATGGGACAGGGTAGTAGACATGGCGATGGGACAGGGTAGTAGACATGACTTGTTATCAGGACATAGCAATGGCTCAGGGTATCGGACATGGCTAATATCAGGGCATGGCAAAGGGGCAAGGGTAGTAAACATGGCTAATATCAGGGTATGGCGATGGGACAGGGTAGTGGGCATGGCGATGGGACAGGATAGTGGACATTTTGGCTAGTATATGTATTAGGATACATGAAATTATTATGAGGATACCAAAAAGTATGCATGAAGACAGTACAGCGGGAGTATCGTCGATGCGACGGCGTACTGTCTGAGTGCATACTTTGCAATATCCTTGTAATAACCTTATTATTATACATCTTTTCCTCACGATGATACAGCATGGGAATGCCGGAATTTAATGTTTAGAACAGAATCACCGAACTTCCTTATGTGTGTAGCAGCCATGTTTGTTTTTATTATTAGAGGATGCTTACACGTGTAATCATTCCATATTTGGAATATGCATTTCCTATTATGGTAGGATGAAAATGCCTGTAAAATACCGCAAAATTACGACATGCTGCAACTTATGGCGTTACGGTGACAGAGGTATAATAATAATTATCATGGCTTGTGTCAAATAACTAATGCAGTTATCAATATACATCTAAGAAAATGTTTTTTTTATTGTAATTCAGAATGGAAAGTAGCAATGTAGAAGTTCTTCATCATACAAAACCTGACAAATATCAGTTACATCTCCATGAAAGCTGTGTATTATCATTAAAATTTGCCCAATGTGGAAAATGGTTTGTGAGTACAGGAAAAGATAATCTACTGAATGCATGGAGGACGCCGTATGGTGCAAGTATATTCCAGGTTAGTTTTACCCACAACATATTTTCTATAGTTCATTGTTTGCTATGGAAACCTGCCAAATAGGTTATTTACCAATTTACTTAATATCATAATTAACCCATTTAATTATCACTACAGTGCCTACTAATATAAGTATATTGTTTGAACATCAAAACTTGCTTTGCACTACAAGTTCAAATCACTATGTATCCGTAGCCTCATTTTTGTTGCAATGTTATTTGTCTTTTCTTCATATTTTCTGTATGAAATCTTGACTTGTTTACCTAATATTATTAACCCCTTTATCGGTTGATTACCACTGTGTGCCCTAAATAAATGTACTTTTCTGATAATCTCGTTATCGTGTGACTCTACAGATGAGGTGATAATGGTAAAATAGTATTCTGATCCATTTGTCGATTCACGATTTATCAGTATCAACTTTTTATCAATGTGCCAGTGATCCACGTTAATTTTATGGCATTCTAACAATATTATTTTCTCTCTCTCTTTCAGTCCAAAGAATCTTCTTCAGTTTTGAGTTGTGATATATCCATTGATGACAAATACATTGTGACGGGGAGCGGTGACAAGAAAGCCACGTTGTATGAGGTCATTTATTAAAAGATGATCACTATATAAATATATATATATTAAAATAAAGACGCTGATTGTGTTGCCATGGACGACACAGGAATGTACATTGTCAGTGAAATGTACAGATGCAACTGACATTTATAGTGTATTTTTTGCTATGAGATTATGTATGAATGTTTATGCATTGCATCCATACATGGAAAACTCTGTAATCCATTGTGGACCCCATTTCATAGAGACCTGGAAAGCAGCTCTCCGTCAAGTCTTGGATTATTACCCGCTACTGAAGATTCAAATCTGTATTCACCTCAGATGTGTTTATAATTTGAAATGATTGGGATGTGTTTAGACATTGAAAATAATGCTGCTATCATCGAGAGATGTTTGAACATGCTGCTCAAAGTCACAGATTATTCCCATGGAACCTGCAGTTTGCCTGCCTGCCTGCCTGCCTGCCTGTCTGTTTAGTACCCGCTGTCTGCCCATCTGTTTAACAATGAACTCCACCACTGCTGTAACTAACATTCACTGCAATTGGAAAATCAAGTTTAAGAGCATCCTTCTTTACAATTATTTTAGATGTTATTTTTCACAAGTGTTACATGTTCAACTGTCACTTCTTTCCAGTGCTACCCCCCCCCCCATGTATATATATTGGTTTTACCCTCAATTATTAGCCCTCAGATTCTACCAAGATATTGGCAACTGTAAGGGTGAGAGGTATCATTCTCAGGGATCTTGGAACTTTAACCAGAAGCATGCATGTCCATGATAATACAGTTGTCTAAAATGCTGTTGATAAATGGTTTGAACCAGACAGAGAGAATAATATAGTATCCAATATACTAAACACAACACAATAGCTCTTCTCTGAAATGTGTGTGTATTGACTACTGCTGTGTTGAATGATTATCTGTATATTACCTGCACATCCCTGTTGCCATGACAATATGTACTGCCCTTGGACACAAATGTCACTATTTTCTAATAACTTTTATTCAATTTGTGGAGGGGGGGGTGTTTGACAGTACACTTTTGCAGGCTTTGATTCCCCCACCACCACATTGCACAGAGGTGTTTATTTGAGTTCTGTTTCAATCAAACCTTTTAAGTTAATTGTACACAGTTTTTTGTTAAAACTTCCATGAATGGGGAAAAAAAGTTTTCTTTTGCTTTTTTAAAAAACAAACAAACATCTGTAAGTTATTAAGTAGGTTCCGTGTCCCCCTCACTTTGTATATAAGAATTATCCCTTTTTCTACATGTGTAGTTGCCTAGGAAACCATATATAGCAATTAGGAGTGTTGCTAAGTAATGTTTTGCATTTAAACAGAGAACTGTAACACAACAAATTGTTCAATGGTGTTTTTTTCCTTGAATTTATTATTAAACAAAGTTATGGATTAATAAATTATCTAAGATTTTTGCTGGTTTTGTAAAGAAACGCTGTGTTCTTGTGTTGTCTTTGAAAAATGCATGCATGCTCTCAATTTATTGAACCAATCAGCATCATTGATTACATACTTTGAATAGTAATCAACCTGTGTAATGTTTATTTCTGAAAAAAATCACATTATCCTTGTCACAATCAAGAGCTGTTTATTTCAGAATCTAACTGTTATAGGAGTTTGGCTTTAACTATTTGCATAATTGACTAATTTGTAGTTGTGCTCCAATCATGCGAGCTATTTTATCTTTTCTGTTACAATATCTTTTCAAGTGTTTTTGGTGTGATTATGTCAGGTACACTGTTGGTCTGTTTGAAGTTCAAAGGCACATAGTAAACTGTTCATGTTTACCCAAATTTAATTGTGACATACTAGGACGACGAGTGTGAAGTGGTCTGCTCTATTTCTACACATTTCTACCTTGCCAGTACCGTCAAAGATGGCAGGGAATGGTATATTAAGGAAAAAATTTCTGTCAGATGTTGTCGTCATTGTTAATAATTGATATTGTATGCACAATAACTTTACAAATTCTATTTCAAACTTGGTCACCTTATTCATTAGTATAAAGTCTTCCCCGAGTATGAACGACAGATGTTCTGTATGAAAATATGGTAAAATTGAGAAAATCTGATAAAATATTTTGATGGTTTCTACTGGTGATACACATTCAAAGGTCACTGATCTCAGTGAAAATGTTGTATGTGTTCCATGAAGCAAATCATTTATCTTGGTAATGTATCTCCCAAATCCCATGGGAATACTAGACTGGGTTTCAAAACCAACTCATGGAGAGTTTTTGCACAGTCTGATACACATTTGCAAACCTACCAATAAAATCTTTACAGAAAACAAGATGTCAGAAAATCAATATAAGCACTCCTATGAACTGGGTGCCAAACTTTGATCAAGATCTGAAGCTAATAAAAAACCTATTAAAAAAGTTATCAAATCAAAAAATACATAAAAAAGAATTTTGTATTTGACAAACAGTTCATTCGACAAATGAAAATTCACAGGAATTTGTTTCAGCTATTAGAACAGAATGATAGAGCTTTTATAATACTGATTTAAAAACATACTTCAAAAACAAAGATTGCAGTGTTTGAAGATGTAGATTCTCAACTAACTATTCAAGTTGATTTGCACACAAAGCAGAGCTGGCGACATGATAGCTATTCATAGAGGGCCTTTTTTTTACTTTTCAAATACAGTAGTCACACAATGAATATAATAAGGCAGTTCATATTTGTCTCAGTGAATCATTAATTTTTGACAGACCGCTGTACAAAAGCCAGCTAAGATTTTCTGTTATGATGCGTGTTTTATGAATCTATTCAGCTCTTCTTTTCTGAGATGAGGCATTTGTTTTTATACTAAAATATCCGAATTACTTTGAATAAAGCTGGAAATTGTGCCCCTTAAAATAATTAAACAAATTAGGCACCAATGTTTTTGTAAGATATTAACATCTATAAAGGACATTTGGTAGACTGCTTTCCAACTGTTTCAACCCCAAAATGTGTTTGTATTCAAAATTAATTATGACAAAGCATATTCATATTGAAACAAACTATGATAAAGGGAACCACTTCAATGTTACCAACTTCTCATTTCGGGAATAATCACATTTAATGATACCAGTACCTTAGTGATTGTTAATTGAAACATGCTATTCAAAGTAACGAATCACTGTCATTTCACATAGTAACAATCATTGTCATTTCGCATAGCAACAATCATTGTCATTTCGCATAGCAAACATCATTGTCATTTCACATAGCAACAATCATTCTCATTTTACATAGCGACAATCATTCTCATTTCACATAGCAACAATCATTCTCATTCCCCATAGCAACATTGTCATTCCCCATAGCAACATTGTAATTTCGCATAGCAACAATCATTGTCATTATACATAGCAACTATCATTGTCATTCTACATAGCAACAATCAGTCATTTCACATAGCAACAATCACTGTCATTCCGCATAGCAACAATCACTGTCATTCCCCATAGCAACAATCACTGTCATTTCGCATAGCAACAATCACTGTCATTCCCCATAGCAACATTGTCATTTCGCATAGTCACAATCATTGTCATTTCACATAGCAACAATCATTGTCATTCCACATAGCAACAATCATTGTCATTTCACATAGCAACAATCATTGTCATTTCGCATAGCAACAATCATTGTCATTTCACATAGCAACAATCATTGTCATTCACATAGCAACAATCATTGTCATTTCACATAGCAACAATCATTGTCATTTCGCATAGCAACAATCATTGTCATTTCGCATAGCAACAATCATTGTCATTTCACATAGCAACAATCATTGTCATTTCGCATAGCAAACATCATTGTCATTTCACATAGCAAACATCATTGTCATTTCACATAGCAACAATCATTCTCATTTTACATAGCGACAATCATTCTCATTTCACATAGCAACAATCATTCTCATTCCCCATAGCAACATTGTCATTCCCCATAGCAACATTGTCATTTCGCATAGCAACAATCATTGTCATTATACATAGCAACAATCATTGTCATTCTACATAGCAACAATCATTGTCATTTCACATAGCAACAATCATTGTCATTCCCCATAGCAAAATTGTCATTCCCCATAGCAACATTGTCATTCCCCGTAGCAACAATCATTGTCATTTCGCATAGCAACAATCA